CCTTGGCCGGGGCTGCTGGCAGCCTCCAGCTTTAGGATTAGGTATTTACTTTCTGCCGGTACTTGGGTTCTTCTGACTGTTAATTTATGTCGCCTATAGCCAAGGCTGCCTGCGCTTTCCAAAGCTGCTGTATGGCCCTTCCGTAGCCAGACCACCACCGAGGCCTCCTGCTTTACGCTCCCGTTCCAGGCACATCCTCAGGATTTACTAAAGGCGTTGAGCGGGTGCGGATAAGGAGCGGAGCCTCCGCCCCAAGACAGGCAGGGTTATGCTGACATGGCCTGCGCCAGGGTGCTGATATTCTGCAGTACCAGGAAACCAAAACGCGGGGCTTGCATGGCTGAAACTTCGGTAAAACAAGCAAGGGAAACCGCCCCGCTCCCCCCTGAAACAGGCACCGTCGTAAACCAGAGCATTAGCGGCGTTTGCTTGGGCTAACGTTACCCTGAGGGGTGTTTAATGGCAAATGGAAGATGTGTTAAGGTCTTCCCAGAAATCAGGCACAAACCTTGAATGGCTTTGTCCCCTGGGGAAAAAAACCCCTCCCCTTCCCCTTTTTTGATAAAAGCGAAGTTTTGTTGGAGTTAATACGTCGAGATGGGGAATAGACTGAGATTGGTGCGTCTGCTGGGGAAGGTGTCGGGCCGAGAAGAGCCGTCACCCCAAAGGGCGATGGCTGTCCTGCGTGCTGCTGTGCTGCAGGGATGCCCTGGCGCGGGGCCGCGGCGCTTGGATCTCCTGGTGCTCGCAGGGGGCTGCTGGTCCTGGGTTGGATGGGCGAGGGCAAGGCGCGTGGGAGCGCCGTGGCTAACGATGTCCCCTCTCTCCCCAGACACTACCCGAAGCAGTCCTTCACCATGGTGGCAGACACTCCTGAGAACCTGCGTCTAAAGCAGCAGAGCGAGCTTCAGAGCCAGGTGAGGTCTCCCCTCACCCGGGGCCGCCGTGCTTTGCCCCATCGCCCTACGTTCTCCCGTGCTCTGATGCTTTCCTACGCCCTGGCACAAAGGAGGGAGAGGCGGGTTTGGGGCGTGGGTCCCTCCTCTTGGGTCTCACCCATCCCCGCTGTCTTTGCTCTTCCCTTCATCCGTGGCTGCTGCGACCCCGCGGAGGTGGGAAGGGTCCGGCAAGCAGTTTGCTGCTCCCAGCCCATGCCTTGCACCAGCTCCCATCTTTTCCCTGCTCCCATCCAGCACCATAATCAGGTGAAATGGGAAATGGCTTCATCTGGGCAGGCGTCGACTCTCTAGGCAAGTATTTCAGGTAAACACGAATCTTGTAGGGCTTGAAAGCTCTGGCAGGTAGAAATAAACAGATAGAAGGGATAACGGCTGGCACAGATAAGGATTTCTTTCTCTAGTGGGAAGAGAAGAGCCTGTCTGAGAAGGGTGTTGTCCAGACATGTCCTGTTCTATACCCTGAAGGTGTCCCTGGATCAGCAAAAGTCCCCAGCCTTGACGCACGGCTGCGGGCTGGGTTCTTGTACCAGGAACTCCTGATGGTGCAGTGGGAGCTGCTTGGCTCTGGGTCCCTTGGGTGGCCCAAGGAACAATCCCTGGTTTCCTTCTCTTACTCCAAAACGTTGAGGACTGAAACATGAGCATCAATTTTGCGGAGAAGCAGCTGGAAGGGCGAGGTGAGCACAGGAACGGGCCGCTCTGGTGGGTAACCCTGCTTCGTGGGACTCTGCTGGGAGGTTGTGCCGAAGCACCTTGAGACGATGCCCCAAACTTTTGTCGTGAGCTTCGACATCGCACGACTGGGGGTGTCTGCTCAGAGCGCGCCGTGCTGGAAGAAAACACATCCAGCGGCAATTTTGGCTTGAGTCAGCGTCTCGCAAGAGAAGACAGGATGTGGCAACTGTTCCGGGAGGCCATTTAATTCCTTTTTCCCTTTGAAAAGGGACAAAAAGGCTGCGCGGAGCGTGGTCAGCAAGGCAGGTTGGCTCAGCATAGTGCTGACGCAGTGTTGGTCCTGGGCAGAGGGAGGACAGCACAGGATTTGCCGGGGGGGGGTTTCAGGGTGAGCAGTCATTTTGGGGGATGACTCTGCTCCCTCTCCTTGCTGTGCCGGGGAAGGATGCTGTGACCTTCCTGCCTTCTCTTCCCATTAGCCTGAGAGTGCCAGGAGCTGAGGAGCAGATTGCCTGGGAACGCATCCCACCGGAGGAGGAGGAGGATGAGGATGAGGAGGAGGAGGGAGCCTCGGGACCTCACCTGTTAGCAGATAGAGCTGGTGGTGGCCCTATGCAGCCAGCGCTGAGTTTTGAAACCTTGCCTTTTGTAAGGTCTCTTCCTCAAAGCAAGTTGCCCAACGGCTCCCTGGCTTGCACAAGTGCAGCTTGGCTCAAGCTTTGCGCTAGAGCTCAGCCTGGGGCTGGCTTTGTGTTTCATAGAGCGGTTAAGGGGACGCAGTTGCTTTTCCATGGTAACAATTGCCATAATGCTGTACCGAGCGCTCTGGAGTCTCCAGCACTGTTCTCACAATGAATTCAGGCTCTTCATTAGTTGTTGCTTATTAAAGGAGACCCTGGGGAGGGAGCGTGCGCCGCTGCCTGGGCTTTTCTGTAGCTGGTTGGGACTTTCAGCTCCTCGTGGTGTGCAGGGGGTGGCTGGAGGCAAAACCTTGCAGGGGAGGGGGTGTCTTTATTTTTTCAAGCCTGCCCCTCCAGACGTTGGTCACTGCCCCTCAAACGCCAGCAGGATCCTCTGAAGCAGCCATGCCCAGCTCCTGGTGGTCCCCCGGGCTTTGGGGGCTGCGGCAGGGATAGCATGGAGCCGCAAGAGCCTTCCGCCCTCGTGGTGGCACGTGAACGTGTCGGACGAGGGGCTGGGGTGCAGGTGGGGTCCTCCAGGCTCCCGGGAACCAGGATGAGCTGCAAAGTGGGAATTATCTGAGCAGGAGGGAGAAGGGGCTGTTGGGGCGCTGGCTGTTTGGGTGCTGGCTATTGGGGTGCTGGCTGAGCCCCTGCGGAGAGGGGCCGGGGAGGGGTGCAGGAGGGAGGTGGCGGAGCTGAACCAGGTGTAAAGTGCTGGAGTGCCCGGAGCCCTGGGGAGGGTAGATCCTAAACAGGCTTCAGATAAGATCTTAATTCCTCTCTGCCTTTGTTCTGCCTACAAAGGGAGTCTCCTGTTTTCCAAGCGCCAAACATTTGTATTTCTTGAAGCGCTCTTTCCAAAACAGCAGCAGCCGCTCCAGTTTATTGGCAATCCCGCCTTACTAATTGCAGGAGCTGAGCAAACCCCTGGGGACAGGAATAGGTCACTTCAACCCTTCCAAGGCAGGCAGAAGGGTTCAGCCTTGCAAATTAACTGGGTGAACTGGAGCTGTTGGCTGAGGCAGGGAGGGGCTCACGGAGAAGGGCTGGCGGGCCCCGCTTTGCGGTGATGGCAGCCTGGTGGGGGGGCTTCCGCGCCGCAGTTTGCCAGCTCAGGTGCCACCTAAAAAGCGCATCCTGGCCAACGCCGGTGGGACAGGCGGAGCGCTGCGTGTGGGTCTAGTAGTAAAAATCCCTTGCGGAGTAAGAGCAGGGTTATGTGAGCAGTCGCGTCTTGCCTTCAGGCTGGCATTTGCCGGCCAAACTCAGCTGTGGCCAAGCCTTTGGTCCTCGGTGTGAGGCTTCCCCGAGCGCTTGTCCCTCCGGAGAAGCCGTGGCTGGGAGCAGCCACAACGGGGGGGGGGAATTTGCGG